GGGCTGCTCCCCCACGTGGACAAGCTGGTGGCAGGCCAGGTTGGAGGACTGGGTAACGCTTATCCCATTCCTCTCAGCACCAATGTGGCTTCGCTTTTGTCTGGAAGACCTGGTGCTGGACCAGGTGGGAAAACTGGTTAAAGCTCTACCCACAGTATCAGCATTGATATGGCTTCTCCCCTGTGTGGATGAGCTTGTGTTTGGTCAGGGTGGAGGATCGGGTGAAGCTCTTCCCACACTCTGAGCACTGATGTGGCTTCTCCCTTGTGTGGGTGAGGCGGTGTCTAGTCAGGTTGGACGATCGGGTGAAGCTCTTGCCACACTCTGAGCAACGATGTGGCTTCTCCCCTGTGTGGATGTGCTGGTGTTTGGTCAGGTAGGAGGCCAGGCTGAACCTCTTCCCACATACTGAGCACTGATATGGCTTCTCCCCGGTGTGGATGAGCTGGTGTTGGGTCAGGAGTAAGGACAGGTGGAACCTCTTCCCACACTCGGAGCACTGATGTGGCTTCTCTGGCACATGAATTAACCTGTGCTGGTTCAGGCTGATTAGCCATCTGAAGCTCTTTCCACACTCTGAGCACTGATGTGGCTTCTCCCCTGTGTGGATGAGCCAGTGCTGGGTCAGGTGGGTGGATAAGTGGAACCTCTTCCCACACTCAGAGCACTGGTGTGGCTTCTCTGGCATGTGAATTAACCTGTGCTGGGTCAGGGCGGAGAGCCGTCTAAAGCTCTTTCCACACTCTGAGCACTGATGTGGCTTCTCCCCTGTGTGGATGAGCCGGTGTCGGGTGAGGCTGGAGGACAAGTGAAACTTCTTCCCACACTCTGAGCACTGATGTGGCTTCTCCCCTGTGTGGATGAGCCGGTGCTGGGTCAGGTGGGAGGACAAGTGGAACTTCTTCCCACACTCGGAGCACTGATGTGCCTTCTCCCCTGCGTGGATGAGGCGGTGTCGGTTCAGGTTGGAGGACTGGGTGAAGCTCTTCCCACACTTGGTGCATATGTGGAGCTTCTCCCCAGTGTGCCTTATCTTGTGAAGAGCCAGGAGTGATGGGCAGTTCAGGCTTTTCTGGACTTCAGGACAGGGGTGGGCTTTGCCCCAGTGAACAGCAGTGAGCTCCGGCTCTTCCCTGAGTCCCTCCCCACTGCCTTGGCTTGGATGCAGTGCCTCTTTCCAGTGGCTCTTTAGGTTTCTCAACTCCACACATTCTTCCCTGCACCCAGGGCTCTTTTGGGCTTCTGCCCCTTCTCCACTCTCATGCCCAACTGGAGATGGTACCTGGTACACTGCCACATTCTCCTTCCGCTTTTGGGGCCTCCCTGGACTCTTGTGCCATTGCTCTTTCTCGAGTCTCAGGGAGTCCATCGCACCCAAATTCCCTGGGGAAGTCCACGGTGGCTCCAGTTCTGCAGGACTCTGCTCCTCAGCTCTGCTCAACAGCCAGGCACCTGCTGCATGGGAACGAGAAACTGCAGATTAGCCCTTACTCAGCTGGCAAAAGGCAAACACTGCTATTCCTTCTGCTGAGATGGGCCTCAGAGCAGGCCTGGACCTTGGCACTTGTGTTCCCTCAAGGAAACAAGGCCTTCCTGCCAAAACCCCATGTGCTGGGTGTGAGTGAGGGGCAGGTCCCTCAGCAGGGCTAATGGTCCCTACTCAAGAGAATTCAGAGCCAGACTCTCAGAGGCCCACTTATCAGCCCCATCACCTCCAGCCCTGCTAGGAGAAGCACATGTAGGACACGTGCGGTAGGACATTACCTGAATACCTTCATGTTGCAATGGGCTGAGGAGGAGGGGAGGACCCAGAGCCGGGGCTCTCTCTTCTGAAAGGAGCAGGGCTGTGCTTCCTGCCTGCCTCCAGGACAAGGTCTGGTGCAGGGAATGAACCCATGAAGCTTTTCTCTGCTGTTGGGTCCCAGGTGGTCTCCCTGGTACAGGAGCCTGCAACGGGTCTAAGGCCTTGGCATGATCCTGAACCTGGACTACGTGCTGAGTCTCAGGCTTCATGTAACTCAGGGCCCCAGACACAAAACACAAAGGGGGCAATTCTGGTGCAAACCATGGGGGATTCGCTTCCTCCGACGGCCTGAAAGCTTCTGAATCCTACCCATGCCATGAAGCCATTTAATGCAGCCTGAGACCAAGATGAAACACTTCCTGGCTTCCAGGTAACCTGATCAGGAGAAGCCAGGCAAAACCTCAGCTTCTTTCTTCTCCAACAGTGACAGCTACACAGAGCCTCTGCATCCCATCCTGATTTCCATGCAGGGCTACAAATCCCATCATGTTCTGGAAGAAGGTGGTAGAGAGGTATAGCTACCTTGGGCTGGAGAATCAACTCTTACACAGTTGAGTAAAGATGGAAATTGAAGGTTGTGGTATCCCAAGGATACCAGATCT